AGCATTGTTAATCAGCTTGTCTTCTCAATGCTGCATGTCGTTGTTATGTAAAAAAAAACAAGTTTCAGGCGAGGCTCTCAATTAAATAGCAATCATGTGACTTTTACACTCAGAGTTGACACATTTTGTATTGTACAAAGTACACGTTGTCAGCAGGGAAAATAATAGTCGGTTGTAATAAAGTTGAAAGTTTTATTTCAGCTAATGAAACATGTGACATACATGAATTCACCTTTCGTTTTTTTTTGAGGTTGTCGGCTGCTATTAAAACACATTTTGCAATATGGTTCAATTCATTTTTAATATTATGGTGTTCAAGCCAGATAAAATTATATGGTTACCAAATTAATTTTTGCACAATACACCTACGAAATTAGTGATTTTTGAGGTATTTACAATAGTTTTCTATGGTGAAATATTTTTATCATACATTTATCTCAATATTTGTTCACAAAATAAATCTAAATCAATATTTTCTAAACTTTTGCTTAAGATCTGCAATCTAATTCTAAATTGACAAAACAATTATTATTCTCTTACACATGTAGATATATAAAAAACGTGAAAAATGTTGCACGATGGAAAGTAATAGGAGAGAGGGCGCTATTGTTCTTTATGTTCTATGATCACTTTAATTTTGGTAAACATTCTTAGACTAGTTATGTGAGTTAGGTAAGTAATATTCATTCAGGTCAGCTCTGAGTTTTAAATTGATAAATTGATACCAAAATTACACAACATGACCAAATCACAGATCTTTGTAAAATATTCACAAGTTTCCATGTCCCTACCAAGGTCCGAGCATCATGCATGTATATCACACACACACACACAATGTATTCAAAAGTGAATAAACCGAAAACAAAATTATGTTGCAACATTGCACATCATCGCTTATGTAATCATCTGAGCTTATCTGAAAGTGTATGGCACAAAGCCATCTTTAAGGAGATACCAGTGACAATTTTTTCCCCGTTTCACAATTTTCCACAGGAACTGAGCTGTCTATCGTCTATTCGTGTGTTCATGAGTGTTTTGTTTCCAATCACAAGCATTGTCAATGACATATAACATAGTGCCATCTCTTTTCTAATGTGCATACCAAATTGTGGTCAGGATTTTTTTGGAGTCCCAAAAATTATGCAGCATGTTTTCGGGGCCATGACTTGTTTAAACACAAAAATATACAATAGATAATACTTGAAACAAAAGACTTAAAATAAAAATAACAAAAGGTATAAACCTGGATTAAAACCCTTCCTCTCTATTCTATTCTCTCCATAGTTAAACAAAAATTCTGACAGAAAAACAAATCATGGCATATATTATTTATACTTTATGAATATAGTTTCTAAAACAACACACACGATATGAGACAAGATTTTTTTTGTTCCCATGCTTCATAAAAGCATTTCATTCTTTTATTATGTTGTTTAGATCAAGATATCCTTTACTACGGAAAATAGAAATAATTCAAAAATACGCGTACATGTTGGTACAGGTGAGTTTTAAAATATTATGCCCTTTTAATAAGGCCAGGTGAAAAAAAATTCTTTCTTTCTCGTTTCATGAAAATTTTAAAATGAGCTAAAAGCTAAGCTAATGAGCTGAGCTAAAATGGGGGAAATTTGAGACAAGTGCATGTAGATGCACATTTCGGAATGCTTTAGAAGGGAAAAAAACGTTGAGGCACATAGTTCAAAATTATGCGTGAGAAACAAAGATATTTTTTTTCTCAGCTTAATTGTTGAGTCAGCACAAAACATCTATGTTTACAATCGTTGTGCACCAGTTAAAAAATTATTGGTGGTACACAAATCTTTATCATAAATAACATAATTATGTTCATTGGAAAAGTAAATATTTTGTAAGTGATATATGTGCTTAATGTTACATATATTTCGCCATTCTTCTGAATTATGACAATTGTGACTTTAATGCTGTTCAATTTCATTTACATACAATTTGTTACAAGTTTTACATGTCAAAAATCTATATAGAGGGTCAATGATTTATTCTATAGGTGGCTTGTTTATTATTATTAATGAGGTTCTTATCTCTATGCAATGTCATGGGGAATCAAAGGGTTTCCCATGCAATCACTAAATTCGCAGTTTGTTTGAACCGAACTAATTTTAGTTATTGCATATTTCACAAGACCATGGAGCTAAAAAAAAAAGACATAGCAAGACTGACTGTAATCAATTTCCAACTTAATAAATAAAGAGCGAATAGATTGGCTGCTATGATTCAGATTACAATAAAAAAATTCTGTGTGCAGACTGAACACAGACAAACAATGGGGTTTAACACCCAAGTACACATCCAAAATATGGGTTGGTATATTATTATAGGAATTCTATTCCATAATTCACTAGATCGCTGTGCAAAATACTGGTTGTTATATTTTATTTAATACTGTACCTGAAAATCCTAGTTCTTGCTGCCATGCAATAAATCATGTGTCATAAATGCCTCAGTCACAATATATAGGTGATTAGATGTTTTTCCATGATAGTGTTCGTCTTCTAGCTTAATAATATCACAGAAAGCATGATAATGTTCATCTTCTAGTCTAATATTATCCTGGAGAGCATTGTTGAGTTTATAATGATCTCATACTAGGCTGTAACCGCTATAATCATTTGTTAGTTTTTACTGTGTGGTTATTGCTAAATCATGGGATTGTGAGTGTGAAGGTTATATACTTAGGACAAACCACTTTGTTTATGGGGATGTCAATTTAATAAAGCAAAATATGAGGGGACGTGTTTTGGAATTGTCAAACATATTTCATGAACCTTGATGAAGGGTCTTCCTCCTTTCACTTGAAAGTATGATA